TGATGCTGGCAGCGAGAATAGCCTCCTTTTCCGTGACTTTGCTAGGTCCCAGAAATTGAGGATCTCTGGCTCCTGGTATCAGCGTTCTGACCCGCATCGCTGGACTTGGTACAGCGATACGGGTAGGGTGGCCAAGGAGATCGACCACATCCTCGTCAGCACTCGGTGGAGGATCCTCCAGAACTGCAGGGTGTATCGAAGCGCCGAGTTCTGTGGAACTGATCATAGATTAGTTGTGGCTACTCTCCGGGTCCACTTTAGAACCCCCCGTCGACCAAATGAGCACCCCAGGGTGTTTCATCTGGACAGACTGAGGGAGGATGAGTGTGCCCGGGGGTTTGCTGAGGCTATCTCTGCTCGGTTCACAGCACTCGAGGGCCTGACAGACCCTGTTGTTATGTGGGATTCCTTCAAGCGTGAAACGCTTGATGCAGCTCAGGAATCCATTGGTGTACGCCCTAGAGCAAGACAGAATACCATCTCGCAGGAGACACTGGAAGCCACAGAAGCTTGCCGTGCAGCTCGATTGTCAGGGGATCGCAATTTGCACCGTTCTCTGGCGCGCAGGACTAGGTCACTGCTGAGAAGGGATAAGGAACAGTATATCAGTAATCTTGCAGAGGAGGTCGAAAGCCGTTTCCTAGTAAATGACCTTCGTCCTGCCTACCAAGCTCTGAGAAAGCTGAACTCCAAGCCCTCCTCACAGACGACGGCAGTCCGCTCAGCGAGTGGTCAGGTAATCACAGATCCTGATGGGGTGCGTGTGCGTTGGGCTGAGTATTTTGAGCAGCTGTATCAGGTTGATCCACCAACAGTTAACTTGGATGATGGGAATGTTGAGACTCCTCTGCCAGACCCACCCATCAGCGAGGATCCACCCTCCCTGACTGAAGTCAGGGGGGCGATCTCCAAGCTGAAGAATGGTAAAGCAGCAGGTGTCTGCGGCATCCCAGCTGAATTGTTAAAGGCTGGTGGAGAACCTATGGCAAGGGGCTTGCATGCAGTCCTGTCTGCCATCTGGCAGACCGGTACCATTCCCCCTGACCTACTGAGGGGTATGGTCATCCCTCTCTGGAAGGGGAAAGGGGATCGGTGGGACTGCAGCAATCACCGAGGCATTACACTGCTCAGTGTGCCAGGCAAGGTACTCCTGAGGCACCAAAGACTGGAGCAATCTGGATTCACTCCTGGTAAGTCCACAATAGACCGCATCCTGGCGCTTCGAGTCATTGTAGAGCGCCGTCGTGAGTTCGGACGTGGGCTGCTTGCAGCCTACATCGACCTCAAGAAGGCGTTTGACACGGTGCATCGCGAATCACTCTGGGAGATCCTGAGACTGAGAGGAATTCCAACAAGGATTGTTGGGCTAATAGCAAACTTGTATACAGGCACTGAAAGTGCTGTAAAGTGTGGTGGGGGCCTGTCGAGCTTCTTTCCTGTTAACTCAGGCGTGAGGCAAGGCTGTGTTCTTGCACCAACACTTTTCAACACTTGCATGGATTGGATACTGGGTAGAGCTACTGTCCAAAGTCACTGTGGAGCAACTCTGGGCAATATCAAGGTTACAGACCTTGACTTTGCTGATGATGTTGCCATTCTTTCTGAATCTCTGGAAACCCTAGTGGCGGCTCTTGATGCATTTAGCAATGAAGCGAAGCCCCTGGGGCTAGAGGTCTCCTGGACCAAGACCAAGATCCAGGATTTTGGGGGCCTAATAGGAGACCCTGTGCAGTCGGTCCGTGCTTGCGGTGAAAACATCGAAGTCACTAGGAGTTTTATATACCTCGGTAGTGCAGTTCACGACTCTGGGCTGTCAGACCAGGAAGTCAGTAGACGGATTGGCCTGGCAGCAGGGGTCATGAAATCTCTCGACAAGAGTATTTGGAGATGCCGGTACCTGTGCAGAAGGACCAAGCTACGAGTTTTTAAGGCCCTGATACTGCCAGTTTTACTATATGGTAGCGAAACTTGGACGCTATCTTGTGCTTTGGAATCTCGTCTCGATGCCTTTTGTAACAAATCCTTGCGCCGGATCATGGGGTACAGTTGGCGGGACCATGTGTCCAACCAACAGCTACACCGTGAGACCGGGACAGGACCTGTTACTTGCACAATCCGTGATCGCCAACTCAGGCTATATGGCCACTTGGCTCGACTCCCGCAGGATGATCCTGCCCATCAGGTTGTCTCTGTTCGAGACAACCCTGGGTGGAGGAGGCCTGTGGGACGACCAAGAAGGTCATGGCTTGGGCAGATCGATCAAACCTGTCGTGAGGAACTAGAGATGGGCCGGGCCCCTGCCTGGCGGCTCGCCATGAGAGACCCTCGCAGGTGGAAGCGAAGGGTGGACGCGGCTATGCGCCCCTACCGGCGTTAGCCCCCCAATGATGATGATGATGATATATATGTATGTGTGTGTGTGTGTGTGTGTGTGTGTGTGTGTGTGTGTGTGTGTGTGTGTGTGTGTGTGTGTGTATACATGTGTGTGTGCGTGTATATGCGTGCATGTGTTTATATATGTATGTGTGTATTAAATACATATGTTTATATATATATATATATATATATATATATATATATATATATATATATATGTATGTATGTATGTGTATATGTATGAACATGTTTTCAAGTATAACATATTTTGAAACAAGTTTACATCGAACATGGATATGCTTGAAATCGTTACTTATGACAACCTATCGGAAACATCTTACCTAATTTTCTCCTCTACAAATTTCGTTTTTTAAAAAGGGTATCAATCACTCCATGCGACTGAAGTGTGCTTTCTGGACCTCTTCCAAGTCGTCTGCGGAAACAAGCTGTTAAGTAATTAGGAAATTTGGTCATTTATAAATTCCGCGAGGAGTCAATTAAGCTGGTGAGAAAACCTTACTGATATTTCCAGACAAAGTGTTATGTGATTTATCTTATCAAAATTATATT